GGCTCACGGTGCCAGCCCAAGCCCCGGGGAGCTGGGTAGGGTCTGGGTGAAATCGATGCTCACAAGGAGTTCCTCGTCCTGTGGTTTTGCGGCGAGTTTTGTCTCGGTGTGTGTGGCCTGACATGACAGCCCCAGTGCGAGACGGGCACCTGGAGGAGGCGGTTGTGCTGTGTTGTACAAGGCGGTTGTGTGCATAGGAAGCAGAAGCCCTGTATCCTTTCAGGGTGAAAAGCCAGGACTCTACAGTCTGGCCTCCAGCTCTCCTATTGATTGTAACAATTTTATACTCTGGTTATTCACTAAATATAATGGATACAGCAGGAGAAGTAATAGGAGCAAAAATAAAATGAGAGCCATGGCCATATATTGTTTTTGGCTTCTAATTTTCATCTCTTGAGGTTTTAGGTGATTATGAAAGCAGCTTTTATTATGTACCCACTGACTTCTCTTAATCCTGTCTATTAACTGCATCTCAGTAACCTGAGAGTTTCTGCCACTAATTGAATTTCTCTGCTGGCTGTGGCTTCTCTCCCTTTGTATCTCCATTCCCCCTTTTTCAGCTTGATCTATATCTTGCCTTGAACTTCAGAGGCCACAGCAATTGCTGTAACATCTGAGACGATCTTGGGCCGTTGGTATAGGGACGAGAAACATGATTCAGTGAAGCACTCGTTTCACTTACTCTGTTACAAGACATCACTTGGCTCTTCACACATTGTTTTGGCATAATTTTGACAGAGTAGCTGTATGAAATGCATATCTCGACACAGGCACATAAATACATGACAGATGTGAGTTTATTAGAGCACATCTGCACCTTTTAATCCAGTACTGGCAAGTCAAAGCCATGAGAAGTAGTTCCAGCCCTGTCTTCTCTGTGATTTAGCAGTGGCTGCAGGGAAGAGGGTTGGGAGAGGGATAGACCCTCCCTTGTCCACCCTCTTATGGCTGCCTCGGGAAGACACCGATCTCCTTCTTGGACAGCTGTTATTTAAACAGCTTTAAACAAATATCTTTCCCAAAGGATTGTGTCTTTGTCCATGTCCATCTTTGGTTTCTGTCCTGTTATTTCTCATCTTGAGAAAAGCAACAGAAATCAGAGCAGTCCAGTATGAGTCCATGCCCCCAGGTTCTGCATTTCATTTGCTTTGGACTCACCTTCTCGCTCTGGGTTTCAGCTGTAGGATCAGGGAGCAATGATCCTCAGGAAACATTGAGAGGAGTTTGCTTTGTGTGTCTGATTCCCCTTGTAGCACCTCTTCCTGCTCCACCTGACCAGCGAAGCAGGTCAAAAAAGAGCTCCTCAGCCTTTTCTCCTGAATGATCTCCTTCTTCTTTGCTTTGGAGACTCATGGCTCCAGTCAGGTCCTGTGTCATAGTGTCACCAAGAGTAAAGCAGGGACAGATGTAGTCTGAAACAGCTTCTTTTAGAGAGGACCCTCCCTACCACTGGTTTGTTACTGGACTTTCCTGGCTGTGGATTAATTCAGAGCAAAATACTCTATGACAGGCAAACACTAATCAGATCTGTTCTTTCCTCACTAATGCTATTTCAGAAATTTCCTTGGTACAACTTCCCATGCTGTGTTGTCATTCCTGAGTTCATTGAAATATACATAGAGACATTTGTTATTCTGCATCAGTTTTTTGTATTTTCCTAAAGTCTGGAACAGCCTGATCCTCACCGTGTGGCTTTGATTCATCCTCAAACCACATTTCTTAGGCTGGGCTGGCAGACAAGAGGCTTGAACGTGGGAGGGCGTGTGCATCCTCGGTTCTGCAGAGCACACAGAGGTGCTGCAGCAGCTTTTGCCCAATTTCATCCCAGTTGTGAGGACTGTTCCTGAGGGATTCATGCTACCTGGGACCAAAGCTCTGGGGATGCACAGCTCTGTGATGTGGGACCTGCTCACAACCATTGCGTGATTTGGGTTGACTGTGTGGGAACCAAGAGCAGGGAGATTTCCACCTCCTGGACCCTTCCCTAGCTTTGTATGAAAGTAAATGAAGCAATGATCTTGATGGAGCTCTGCTAAGGTGTATGTGAAAACCATATTTAAAGACTGGTTACATGAAATATGGCAAAAAAAACCTGGGGTTGTTTAGTCTAGAGAAAAGGAGGCTGAGGGGAGATGTGATAACAGTTTTTAGGTATGTGAAAGCTTGCTCTGAGGGGGAAAGTAAACTGTTCTTCATGGCCAAGAAGAAGAGGACAAAAATAATGGGCTTAAATGGCTCCAAGGGGAGTTTGGATTAGATATGAGTAAAAAGCTTTCTATCTACAAGGATATTTAATCTTGGGAATAGACCACATAGTGGGGCATCTCCATCCCTCAGGGATTTCTAGGTACAGGGTAGATGAATGTCTATTAGGAAAGGTTTACGCATAGCTCATCTTGCTTGTGGTGGAAGATGGTCCCTTCCAGCGCTCTTTTTTATGATTTTATTAGGGCACATCTATTCATGGAAGTGCAGGGAGGGCACAGCTCGTTTTGCCTCCGCTCTGAATAGGCTGAACATGGCACAGGCCAAATCCAGCATCTGCATGGGCACGCTGGCTAAGGAGCAGGCATGTTCACCTCAGTGCTGGGCATGTTCTCCATCTGATTTTATTTCAGTGGAAAATAAAAATTGCAACAATGCCCAGGAAAAACACCACTAATGCTTTATATTTGGGACTCTTTAGTAGTGCCAAACGTAACGGGAGTTTACAGCCCCAGCATCACCTAAAAAGCCCAAACTAGCCCCCAGGCTGACTGTGTTTGAAGGCAAGGGCCATGTTTTTCTTCCATGCTTGTGCAAGGCTCTGCACTGTTAGACCCTGGTTACTGCTCGGGGTCCTGGCACTGCCATTCACCGCCACAGCACTACGGGCAGACTCCAAGAGTGAAAATCAACACAGTTGTGAAGGAAGGAAGAAAGAAAGAAAGGGTGCCTGCTATCAAAAGGTGACAAGCACAAGGGAGAAAATGCTTGGCACCATTACAATAGTATTTTTTGGTCTAAGGGGCTCTGGTGTGACATACAGCAGCTTGTTAAGTCTCATTTGGTGCTTTTCTGTACCTTGGCACACTGTCATTTTTACCCCCAGTGCTACACATGTGCTTTATATACTTTGTACAGCAAATGTAGTTTCACTTGCTTTACCATCTAGTAGTTCAATTTAATTCTTTGGAAAAATCATCGTACCCAGAGATGTCTGCTAGTCATTATTGTGAGTCAATAATGAGTTTGGGTTTTAATTATTTTATACTGTATATATGGAAACACAGTGCGTGGCTGGGAACTCATTTGAAACACTTAGGTTTGGTTTAGATGTATTTGGTCTGGAGCAGGGACGGGATATTACTGCTGTGGCCCCCCAATACCCAGTCACTGAAGGGTCACAGCGACAACCATGTGGATGCTGTGTGCTGGATGATGTTCCTCTGAAATGATCACAGAAACTGCCACTTGCTTTGGCATAAAACCCAACCTTCAGCAGGGTTTACCTGAGCTGGTTTTGAGACTAGATGCTGCTTCAGCTCCTTTCTTCTCCTGGCAGATGTTCTCCATGGCACTGGAAAACCCTTGCACCCACGGCTGGGGGCTGCCCACTTACTTCCTGACACAGTTGGTAAATGAGCCAATTAGGGCGGGTGCCCCGCTGGACCTGTCGTTTGCGAACAGAGAAGGACTTGCGGGTGATGTGATGATTGGAGGCCGTCTTAGGCATAGCGATCACGCTGTGAGAGAGTTTTTGATTCTCGGAGAAGTAAGGAGAGGGGTCAGCAGAACTGCTACCTTGGGCTTCCAGAGGGCAGACTTTGACCTGTTTAGGAGACTGGTTGACAGAGTCCCTTGGGAGGCAGTCCTGGAGGGCAAAGGAGTCCAGGAAGGCTGGACATTCTTCAAGAAGGAAATCTTAAAAGGGCAGGAGCAGGCTGTGTCCGCATGTGCCCAAAGACGAGCCGGCAGGGAAGAAGACCGGCCTGGCTGAGCAGAGAGCTTTGGCTGGAACTCAGGAAAAAAAA